TCTTGTGGGATTTTCTGAAGTAGAATAAAGCATCTAGTAAATGGTCACATTGACTTTCTGGCAGAAACAGCTAGAAAGGAATGAAAATGCATAGACAGGAAGCAGTCATGACCTTCCACATATTGGGTTATGCCCACCCTTATTTTGTAGCTGGTTGTTAGTATATCCCACTAATCAACGCTGTATACTTGGAGTAGAGCAATGGTATTTCCTCTTGGCAAGTAGGATATTCATTGTATCAGTAGCCATGTCAGCTTTATAATTTGAACTCCTTATTGATGAACCCTTACAAAAACTCAGTATTCATTGTATCAAATAGCCATGTCAGCTTTATAATTTGAACTCCTTATTGATGAACCCTTACAAAAACTCAGTCTTATTTATCTTGTTCTGTTTTGACAGAAATTAATGGGTAGCATTAAGAAACAGAAATGTATTTTTTTCATAGGTAAGGAAGCTAGAAGTCTGACTTCAGGCGAGAGCTCTTGGGAAAGTCTTTCTTTGTTAGCTTTGTGAGAAGGACCTTGTCTTTCTTCATCTTCTGTTTTGTGGCCCCTTGTGATTTTCATGAGGTTTGACTTCTGTCTTCTCTTATCTCTGCTTGCTTGCTTAGTCTGTGTTTTCTGTCTCAAAATATATTGACAAAAGAGACACTCTAAACTAATACTGCTTCAGTAACATACCAAAGAAAACCATTAGTAAAAATTGGATTATAACCATTGGTATAGATATTAGGACTTACAACATATATTTGTAAGATCAGCACAATTGATCTCAGAAAAACCTCCATCCCCTAATCCAGGAATTTTGTTCATGAGCGCCACACCAGGACTGGTTCATCTTAATTGATTGTATCTTGCTCAATAATAGTTCTCAGAACAGCATTCTAATATATTATTTTCATTATTTGTCCATTTAAAAGGTTAATCATAGCATTTTCCAAAACAGAATATATCTTTAATCATCTAGTCTCATTTCTTCTAAGGCTTGAAAATCTTTTAAGCCACTTGTCTACATTATTTAACTACCTATCTTTGAAGTCCAACTTTATCTTCTTGAGCTGATCTGTGAAATTTTCTGTTCAATTCTTGGACCTCCTCATTTCTTCCATTTGCTTTAGCTACCAACTACCAACTTCTTCAAACTGAAATTAATCAAACATGCAATCAAGATATATTGCTCATTACTGGTGGTTGGAATGCAAGGGTTGGGAGCAGGGAGGAAGGATCAGTAGTTAGAAAATATGGCCTTGGTGATAGAAATGATGCTGGAGAATGCATGATAGAATTCTGCAAAACCAATGATTTGTTCATTTCAAATACCTTCTTTAG